GCAGGTTTCAAACCATTACACCCTCCCTTTTCACAGTAGACAGCTTCTTTGTAGCCACGAGGTCCTAGTTGGGTTGCTCTCAAGGCTTTCTTCCTGCTGCAGAACATCACCAACGAGGTCCGTCGCATCGAGCCGGAGAAAAGGAGGAAGGTGCAGGAGTGTGAGGTCTTCATCGACTCCGTGCCCAACACCGGCAGCGCCACCCTGGTGAGGACCAAGGTGGAGAACACCAACAAGAAGTACGAGCGCGTGGTCCAGCTCCTCAGCGCCGCCCAGGAGAAGTAAGTCACGGCTGAAGGGACCACGGGATCCTGCAGGAGACAGGGCCAGGGGGGCCTCAACGCCTCTCCTCTTCTGCCTCACCCAGAGTTGAAGTGGCCACCCACCTGGAGAGGAGCCTCCAGCAAGGCCGAGATCTGCTCTCCACCTATGAGAACAAGTTGGTCACAGATGACACGGTACCAGAGGACCTGCGGGTGGTGGACCGTAAGAAAGAGGAGCTGCTGGTGAGTGTTCCTCTCCAGCCAGTTTTCTGCCCTACTGACACCTTCCACAGACAAAAAGACTTTCCAAGAGCTCGAGGTAATCGCTGCCCAGCTCCAAGGATGAAATAGTCTGAGGAGAGAAAGAGACTTCAAAGAGGTGGAGCTAGCAAGGCTTGGAGAACACATCTCTAGAAATAGCTGCCAACCCAAACTTCCAACCCTTCTGCTAGGGGGAGGCTGAGAACTGTCTCAGACAGAATTTTCTGTCCTCCTTCAGCTTTCCCATCAAGCCCCCAAGTTCAGACTAGCCCCCAAAAGCTTTCACAGCTCCTTCTGGAGTGGTCGCACTGGTGGGAAGAGGGTTTTTCTTCCATGAGGAGCAGGACCTGGGGCTTTTGGCCCCCTCCCCTGTACCAGGTGGCTCTGCTTACAACAAGCCTTGGACCTGCTCTCCTCCCCAGCCTGCAGCACTACTGCTGCCCAGCCCTTCCTTGGCATAAGTTGCCCATGAGCCAGCAATGGGGCCTCGCAGCCAAGAAGGTCAATGGTCGCCTGGGGTGCATGAGGAAGAGTGTGGCCAGCAGGTCGAGGGAGGTTCTCCTGCCCCTCTGCTCTGCCCTAGAGAGGCCACCTCTGGGGGGTTGTGTCCAGCTCTGGGCTCCCCAGAAGTGAAACAAGGAACTACTGGAGAGAGTCCCCTGGAGGGTATGGAGATGCTGAGGGGCTGGAGCATCTCTGTGCCAGGACAGGCTGAGAGGCCTGGGGCTGGGCAGCTGGAGAAGAGAAGCCTCAGAGGGGATCTGATCAAGAGCTAAAGGTTCTTCTGATGGAAGCATTCCATCAGAAAAGGAGAAACTTCTTTGGGGTGAGGGTGCAGAGCCTGGAGCAGCTGCCCAGAGAGGCTGTGGAGTCTCCTGCTCTGGAGAGATCCCAAACCCTCCTGGCTGTGACCCTGGGCACCCTGCTGTGGGTGAGCTGCTGGAGCAGGGGGGTTGGATGAGGTGATCCCCAGAGGTCCCTTCCAAACCCCCACTCTATGCTGTGACTCTGAGATCCTCTACAGCCCCAGTGCAGTTACTGGAGTTGATGGGGAACGTTGCCTGGGCCCAGGCATAACCCTGGAAAATCCCTCTCTCCTCCTTCTTCCTCAGGCCATGGGCACAGAGCTCCAATCCAAGAAGTTCCTCCTCAATGAAGCCGAGCAGAATTTGCTCAGGACAAAGTCATGTTCCAACACCCTGGCCAGCAAGTTCCAGGAGCACTGCCCGGACATCGAGCGGCAGGAGGCCGAGCTCTACAAACTCAACCAGCGCTTCAACAACCTCAGCAAGCAAATTGACCACAGGTAAGATGCCAGGACAGGGGCTAGGTAGGACTGGACCAGCCTGGAGAGCTGGGATATTTACAGTGGAGATGGAACCACGCTCAAGCTGGAAGAGGTATAGCACCATCATGGGAATGAGGAGCTGCAGAAGGGCTTCCAGGGAGGACTCAGGAAGAAGAGAAGGTTCCTGGCAGGAGTTCCAGCATTCCTGGCTGGCATCTGGGCAGCCTTTAGGGTTAAGTGCTCTTGCAACAGCGACAGAGACTTTGGCAAGAGAGCAGCTCTGGCTCCAAGCTGTCTTTAGGCAGTGGGGGAGTGGGGGTGGGTCTGCAGGAGACCCATGAGATGTGGTCCCACTGAAGCTGAGCTGCTTTCCCCCCCAGAACACAGACCCTGCAGAAAGCCAGAAGTGCCTACGCCAACTACCGTGCCCACTACGACCAAGTCAACCAGTTCCTCTGCAACATCCCCAACTACGAGCCCCAGGAGACAGACAACATCCAGCAAGTGGAAATGAAGCTGAAGAACCAAGCTGTAAGTCTTCCTGCGAGCACCTTGGGCTCCGTGGGGTGAAGACAAGGTCCAACCCTAAGAGATGAGGAAGAGAACTTAGGCAGCTCCTAAACATAAAACAGAAAACTAGAAATATTGACTTATTTTCATGCTAGGAGGTCCCACTGTCCTACCTGTGCCTTCTTTAGCAGGGCAGCTCGAGAAGGTTGTCACTCTTCCTCTTGCAATCTGAACCCCAACCCTCAAAAAGGCTGAGGGAGGTGTCTGGATTCTGTGTTCCCCTTGACGTGTGTCTCTGTGTGTGCCAGGCGCTGCTCAGCGACATTGCCAGCAAGGAGCAGGAGGTGCAGAAGGTCTCTGCCACAGCTCAGCAGTACCAGCAGGCAGTGAAGGTGAGGACTGGAATCCTGCCAGGGGGAGAGCTTTAACACAGTACCATGGACTGGTTTGGGTGGGAAGGGACCTGTCAAGGTCATCCAGTCCAACCCCCTGCAGGGAGCAGGGACATCCCCAACTAGAGCAGGGTGCTCAGAGCCCCTGGGATGGTTCCAGGAATGGGGCAGTGACCACCTCTCTGGGCAGCCTGGGCCAGGGGCTCACCACCCTCAGTGTCAAACATTTCTTCCTTCTCCTTAGTCTAAATTTCTCTCTTTGAGTTTCAAACCATCCCCCCTTGTCCCCCCCCAGCTTTCTGGCAGTCCCCCGCAGGTCTCCCCAGCTGGAGCCTTCTCCTCTGGGGCTGCCCCAGCCCAGCTCTCTCCTGCTGGGCTCCCAGCAGAGGGGTTCCCCCCTCGGGGCATTGCTGGGGCTCACGACCTGCACGTGGAAGGGACCCCAGTAACCTCCCTTCCCTTCGGGGAACTCCCTCCCCCAGGACTACGAGCTGGAAGCGGAGAAGCTCCGCTCCATCCTGGACCTGGAGAACGGCCGGAACGGCTACACGAGCAAGAAGCCCAGGCTCCAGTCTCCAGCAGCAAAAGTGAAAGAGGAGGTGAGGAAGGGGTGGCCTACAGTAAGTTAGAGCAGAGGACAGCTTCTGGGACCAAAGGGGATCCTGCAAACAGGTCTACTTACCGTCGGCAGCCTTGGACCCGGAGGGGACTGCAGGGGAGGGCAGGGAATTAGGGGGGTTTGGATGTTTCATTGTTTTTAACCCATCCATTTTTTTGGACTAGGCAGGGCAGAATGAGATTTACTGGATTTAGCACTTTCTGAAAGGGAAAAGAGGGGAGAAAAGCCAAAACCCTGCACTTTTTCCCCTCCCAAGACTTTCAACCAGAGAGTGGGATTCCACCACCGATGGGCAGACCATGGGCTAGATGGAAATAGAGGGACAGCGGGCCACAAGCTCCTTCAAAATGCAGGACACATTTGCCACCTACCTGCCCCAAACTCATCTTGCCTATTGAGGCAGCCAAAAGCATCCACCCAGTTCTTCCTTGGCCATGTCTCGAGTAGGAAACGTGCAGTATGACCACGAGAGTGCATGTGCACGAGAACTGCTCCTCCTCCCCCAAAGCTTGGCTGGAGGTTCTTAGGAGAGCACCCGGGGTTCCTTCTTTAGGGCCTGTTGTTTCTGTTCAGCGAGCCTTGACCATGCAGCCCTGGTTCCACCCCCTCTTCTCATTGCCTTTTCCTTCTGCAGGAAGCTGTCCTGGCAGCCAAGTTCACCGAGGTGAACGCCGTGAACAGGCAGAGGCTGCAGAACCTGGAGTTTGCTCAGAGCCTCCTGAGGCAGGTAAGTGATCACCAGGATGCTGAGGGACCCCCGTGTAAAGAGCACCCACGTACACCCCTGCTGTGACAAGCTGGAAACAAACCCAGCTAGTCCCTCCTGCCCCTCAAATCAGCAGTCAGCAGACACTTCAAGCAGGTAGACAACCCCTCTGTGGTTCCCAGCCCCATCTCCCACTCACCCTCGGGAGCTCCACGTCGTTTTTCACACTTCTTTTACCAAACCCTTGCCAGCATCAGCGTCCCTCACAGCTAAAAGCTTTGTTCTGACAGCAACAGGCATCACAGAAAGCATTGCTCAGGCTGGGAATCCCCCGAGCAGATCCAGAGCAGCCTGTTTGGAGCTGCCCCTGGTCCAGCTTTCCATCCACCCAGCTCAACGTCCTCCTGCCGCTTTGTCACAGGAGGCGCTGAATTTTTTCACCCCAAATATCACAATCTGGGGGGGGGTTTGATACACGTTCCTTTTTTCCACAACAGCAACCAGAGGTTCAAGTGACGCAAGACTTCCTGCAGACCAAGAAATCCGTCAGGCCCGTGGAAGAAGTCTGGAAGTTGAAAAAAGAGCTCGAGGATGAGACTCAGCGTCGGCAACAGCTAGAAGCAGAGATCAAAGCCATCCAGAACAACATCGTCCACCTGCAAAACCAGAAGCCCCAAGAAACCGTTGTTAAGAAAGAGCTGCTGAAGAAAGTGCCCGACCCTCAGCTGGAGGAGAACTTCCACAGGCTGCAGCAAAACCTAGCAGAGGAGCAGCGCAAGAACCAGGTCCTCCAGGATGAACTGGAGGCTCTTAAAGTCAGGCTGCGTGTTTTGGAGCACGAGAAGAAGGAGGGAGGGCAGGAGTATATAGTGAAGGAGGTGCTGCGTATCGAGCAAGATAAAGCCCAGGCTGATGAAATCTTGAAGCTGAAAGAAGAGCTGGAAGAGCTCAGGAGGCAGGAAGGGACTAGAGAGAACGAAGTCATCCTCCTGCGCCAACAAATCGCCGTGCTGTCCAGCGAGAAGAACAAGGAGCAGGAGAAGGTAACGGAGAAGGAGGTGCTGAAGCTGCAGAACGATCCCCAGCTGGAGCTGGAATTCCGGATCTTGCAGGAGAACAAGCAGAGGGAGAGCGCCCTTCGGCAGAAGCACGAGGAAGAGCTCAGCTTCCTCCAGGACAAGCTCAAACGCCTGGAGAAGGAACGGGCCATCGCCGAGGGCAAGATTACCGTCAAGGAGGTGCTGAAGGTGGAGAAAGACTTGGCCATCGAGAGGGAGGTGAACGAGCTGCGGCGCCAGTACGAGGACGAGAAGTCCAAGGGTCGTTCCAACGAGAGGGAGAAGGCCGAGCTGTTGAGGAAGATCCAGCTGCTGGAAGAAGAGAACGCCAAGGTGGTGGTCCAGGAGAAAGTGCGCGAGATCGTGCGCCCCGATCCCAAGGCTGAAAACGAAGTTGCCAACCTGCGTTTGGAGCTGGTGGAGCAGGAGAGGAGATACCGAGGTGGTGACGAGCAGCTGAGGAGCTGCCAGAACGAACTGGCCGCTCTGAGGAACAGAGGGCCACTGGTAGAAGTCAAAGAAGTCATTAAGGAGGTCATTAAGTACAAGAACGATCCAGAAACGGAAAAGGAGCTCCAGCGGCTCCGGGAGGAAATCATAGAGAGGACGGGAGCGATTGAAAGAGCTGACCTGGAGATCTACCAGCTGAAACAAGAGATACAAGCTTTGAAAGAAACCAAACCCCAAGTGCAAATGAAGGAAGTCGTTCAAGAAATTTTGCAGTTCCGGGAAGACCCCAAGACCAGAGAAGAGGTGGAATCTCTGCGAGCGCAGCTCGCAGACGAGCAGATGAAGCACGTCGACCTGGAGAGGGAGCGGCTACTCCAAGAAGAGAAAGTAAGACAGAAGGAGGAAGAACTTTCCCAGGTGAAGGAGAAAGTGGTCCACCAGGAAGTCGTGAAGTACGAGCAAGATCCTGCCTTGAAAGCTGAAGTCAGCTCCTTCTCTCAGAGCCTGGAGAGCGAGCTGAAGCAAATCGACAGCCTCCGCGAAGAACTCCGCAAGCTGCAGAGGAGGAGGTCCGAGCTGGAGCGTCAGCTAGAGGAACTCGAGAAGGAGAGACAGGCCCGCAGAGAGGCTGAGCTGGAGGTGCAGAGGCTGAAGATCAGGCTGAACGAGCTGGAAGAACAGGAGAGAGAGACGACGGAACGTGTGACCGTGAAACAGAAGGTGATCCTTCAGCAGGATCCCCAGCAAGAGAAGGAGCACTCCCTCCTCAAGCTGGAGCTCGAGGAAGAGAAGCACCGCAGACAAGTCTTGCAAACCGAACTAGAAGCCCTGAGAAAGAAGCTCCTCTCTTTGGAGAAGATGGAGGTCAAAGAGAAAGTGGTCTTTTCAGAGAGCGTCCAAGTGGACAAAGGTGACACGGAGTACGAGATTCAAAAGCTGAAGAGCAACCTGGAGGAAGAAAGCAGGCGTAAGAGAGAGCTGGATGCAGACATCAACCGCCTGGAAACCAGGCTCTCCGAGGTGGAATTCAACAACTCCAAGTCATCCAAGGAGCTCGACTTACTAAGGGAGGAAAACCACAAGCTACACCTGGAGAAACAGAACCTGCTGATGGAAACAAGGAGGCTGCAGTCAGAGATCGAACTCACGGCCACGGAAGCTCGGGATTTGAGAAACATGACCCACGTGGACAGTGGGATAAACCTGGACTCCAGGTTCCAAGCTTTGGAAAGGGAGTTAGAAGATCTGAAGCAGTTATCCAGAGAAAAAGACACGGAGATCGAGCAACTCCAGAACCGCCTCAAGACAGTGGCTATCAAGAGGGAGCAAAGAGAGAACCACCTGAGGCGCTCCATTGTGGTCATCGACCCCGACACGGGGAAGGAGATGTCTCCAGAGGAAGCTCACGTCTTCGGCCTCATCGAATGGAGCCTGTTTGTCAAACTGAAGAGCCAGGAGTGCGACTGGGAGGAGATCTCCATCAAGGGGCCCAACGGGGAGTCATCCGTGATCCTCGACAGGAAGTCTGGCAGAGAGTTCTCCATCGAGGACGCCCTGAAGAGCGGCAGGTTAACCACAGCCCAGTACAACAGTTACCTCAACAAGGAGATGTCCATCCAGGAGCTGGCGGTCCTGGTGTCCGGGAGTAACTACACAGCACTCCCTCCACTTTAGAAACTTCTTCTTCAGAGCAGCTGGTGGGAGCTGCTCCACTACCTTAGGCTTCCAGATCACTGCAAAGCCTCGCCCTCCTCTGCGTCTCCCAAAAAGCACTAGAGCCTCTGCCCCAGCCATGCTGCTTGCTGTCGGATGCTGCAGAAAAGCACCACCACGAGTGGAAAACACCTTTTTGTCAGGACACCAGCAAAACCTCCTCCCCTCTCTTCCCCCCTGCCCCGTCGCTCGACCGAAGAGAAACCAGAGAAGAAGCCTTAGGATGCTGAAGCACCTGAAGTCCCCGGGACCTGCAGTTTCCTCACCGTACACTCACGTAGTCGCATAAAGCTCTATCAGCAGTTGTTAGAGAGACTGAAGGTCAAGGAGGCTCTGAGGGGACCAGCAGGAGCTGGTGACGCCAGCCACACGTTGGTAAGCCAGACAGTTCCACCACAGACAACCACCAGAACGACAGCATTGCCCCCTGAGAAGACCAGCTCTGCCAAAACCAGAGGTGTGCCACACACCGCACGCCTCAGCTCAGCGTCACCGACCTCCAGACCTCCCCACCATCGTCGTGTCCACCTACGTGCCCGTGCTGCTGGGGGAGAGAGAAGCAGATGGCGTGGGATGGGGTCAGGAGGAGCACTCAGAGACCACAGAGGTCACCGAGGAGCAGGTGGAGAAGCACGTGGCCAACACGAGAAGGTGGTGGAGAGCACCCGGCCACAACGCCCGGTGCCTTCAAAGAGCTGGCTTCCCTCAGGGCTGGCAGCTGGTTGTGCTGGTGTTTTCTGGCTGGAGTTCCACGCAGCTACACGTTTCATTAACCTGGGTAAGGGAATGGGAAATAGAGGGGAATTCTATTTATAGTACAGAATAAAAATGCAGTGGTTCCAATCAGGAGCTGGTTTCTCTTTCGTTGCGACGCAGCTCGCGATCCGTGGCTTTGAAAACAGATGCCAGAGTTGGAATCCAAAGACTGTGTGTGACAGCTGCTGACTCTCTCCCAAAAGGGACAGGGCTGGAGCTGCGTTAGAGCTGGGACTAATTAGAATCATAGAATAGTTTGGGTTGGAAGGAACTATAGAGATCATCTCGTTCCAAGTCCCCTCCCAT